GTGATCATTGGAAGGAAAAATCAAAAAGAACCATTCAATACCAGAAATAAAAACGAAAATTAAAAACGCCCGAAACAGGAAACAGCTTTCGAAAACTCTGCGCATGAATTTAGGACTACGGGAAGCAATGTCGCAAATTGCACCAAGTCTAGTGCATCACTGCTGAATTTAAGCAGCGCTAAAACACTTTTACCTCTGTCAAGTAAATTTCTAGTGCTTGCGTTATCAAAAAATATGATCCGAGGAGCAAAACAACTCGTGAGCCACAGAGTCGGAAGGCTAAGATTTTCTGCGGCGGGCATATGAAATTACCCTACGACGCTGCAGATGACGAATGCACACATATAATTTACGGTGTAAGTCGTTGTATTGTAGACTAAAAAGAACAAAGTTCACAAGAGTTCTGCGTCTGCGGACGCTTTATCTCGCCCTTTTGAGTGCCATATGCATGGAGGGATTTCGCGAATTTCTTGATCGCGGGAACTGTCTTTACCCACCCAAACCCACTTGCTTCCTCTCTGCCAGTTCGATGACTTCGACCAGATTTGGCATCGCCATCGACGGATTCGCAATCACTTCGACGAAAATCATCTGAAATTTACTAAGATCTTTGATGACTTGTTATTGTGCGGTTTGAGTTTGTAATGGTGATGGCGGCGGCGGATGGGATGCACTTGGAGACCTCGTTTGCACTGCGTTCTCGACACAATTAATCATTTTTCGTTACGTATCCGATGATATCTCAATCACTGGAATTGTAATTGATTGTTCGGTGATACGATCAGTTGTCCTTGACCCCCGCGCGCTAAGTTACCTATCCCATACCCGACTCAACTTCTTGAACACATTCGCAATTGCATCGACACATCGTAACTCCCAGGTCCTTATAGAGCGATTGGGGCTAGCCCTAGAAAATTACTACCTCCTATCATATCCAGTCTCCAGCGAAATTTCAAAAAAGTTCCCAGGTATAATTAGCCTAGCAAACGTCCCGATCGCCTTTATCTCACTGCGGTTTAGGGCGTAATGTTGGTGGCGCGATCTGTGATTGCGTAACGGGCGGCGGCCTCAATATCGCTATATAGCCCATATACGGTGTCCCAATATGGCGATCGCTCACTGTCAGTCGGGATCCTATACCCATGGGAGTTCACTGTTTCGCTTATCAGCCACACACACTTAGGCGTACGTAAATAAACCAATAAAAATTCGTATTTTGCTCCTCTGGGGTTTCCTTAGCCATTATGCAACAACGTCACCTCTCTTTATACTTCAACGATATCAAATTTTGATAATTTGAAGTGATACCATCAATGACTAGGGGCTCTTATGCTCTTAAGAATTTTTAAGTACATCGGAAGCCAATACCGGGCTCCGATTTTGAACTGCAACTTTTTTGAAAGCAGCCTATAAGTCAGAGCGCTAGTTGCTTTTTGAGGGGGGGGAGCCACATCAACAGGGTCTCTACGTGATCTCGTGAAATAGTTGTTCGTACCAAACTTAGAGTGGTGGACGAACACAGCATATAGCTCAGAGAGTTCCTGCAGAGCAGGAGGTATCTACGCAACTTGGACCGTTTGCACTCTGGGCCTGAGCCTTGGTTAAAGGAAGGGACACAAGGCGCTGAGGAATGCTCTAGGCAGCACGTATTTTGGGAACTCACCCAGCCCTCATATAGGCTCCCACTTTGACCAGTACCGAAAGCTTGTTAGCAAACTTCATAAGCTTCTGTGAATCTCATCCCAAGTAATCAGTGGGCCTTAAGAACCAAAATATGTCCAAAAATTCTTGAAAAATTGTTCAAATATAAATTTGTTTGAGTTTTTAGGGGAGAAGCGCGGACGCCGTCTCGGTCACAGAAGTGGAGTTGAGTCGGGAAGTCCAAGCCAAAAGGGCTTAACTGGTTCCATGGAGAATCGGGCAAGATTTGAGTGAATGATCAGGGTTTATTGGTAAGCTCGTGGATAGTGCACACAATAAACTCCTGACAAACCCTAATCCTTTGCAGGGGCCCTAGAATAGCGGCGAACAGGGCGCTAAACTTGTGTCTAATAAGATAAACAAATAAAATAAAAGCTTTCTCGATAATTAGTGAGCAACATCCAGTGCTGGTACGGCATATATAAAACCAAAAGGGAAGATATAGCCCGCGTCTCTATACATGTCTATTGCTGGAATCCTAATGCTTACGCGCGCATTGGAAGGTCCACGTTAGTCGTGTGGGCGGGGACAGAGGATCCTGCAAAAATCGTTCTGTCGCATTTCTTCCTAAAATGGCGGGTGAGGATGTTCACAGGAGACACGGATGGTTTGTCTGTCTCCACCTATGTATCCGCTCATGCAACCGGCGAGAAACTGCTTTTGATCCATGCATCGATCGTAAATGGCTCGTACTTCTTCCAATGCAGCTTCCACCTGAACGGTCACCTCTACTAACCCATATCATGTGTAGAAAGAAAAGACTCAGTGTAAACGAACCGATAAATGAGACACGACTGCGAGCTGCATCTCTAAAAATGGTTCAGCCAGATAGCATATGGCGAGCTTCATCCTTACGCCCTAAGAGATACGAAGCAGCCCTCTCTAGGCCCCAGCATCATCAGTACAATAGAAACAAATGATCCGGATTCTATGTCAGTTGGGGCCTCTTTGCAGGTGCAAGACAGTGATTTCTTCGATGAACTGCGCAGGCAAGGCTAAAATGGAGGTTACCGCTGCCAGAATGCTCTATTAAAGGCACGGTCCGCGATCAGGTATCGAAGTTGAAAATATGGCGTCAGGAGGTTAGAGTGGTCCGCGACGAACAACCTTGTACCGGTTTCGCGGCAAAAAATTCTATGGAAGGGGCGCTATGGCGCAACATTTAGGGTCCAGTGGGTTCTGTCCTTTTTTCAGTGATCCGCCTCAGACTCCGCCTCCAGTGCCCTCTTTTCAGCGAAAAAACGAGGTTGCACTACGAAAAAGCATGAAAATCGTCACTTCTACGATCGTAGAGTTCTTATCGATGAATCAGCTGGCGTATGAGGGCGTAGTGTGGGAGATAGAGTTAAATGGGCACGTCAAAACTGGGAGCATAAAATGGGGTTCTCCAGGGCTTGTGCTTTTTTTTCTTCACTGTCGAGTTACTCAACCCCTTGTGGTCTATATGGAACCCCCTAATGCCACTATCTGAGATGGCGAATAATCGCGGGTTTTGCCTTTAACGGCAGCACTTTTCTTGCGGCAGACGTCTGTCATACCAGCTTCCTCTTCTGGACTATGACTTGTAGAGGGTCCCCTACGAAGGCTTCAAAGGCCAAGGGTCAGCTAAACCTAGGGAATTTTCCCCTGAGCTGAAGCGACTTATTCTTTCAGTAGGGCAATGGGTGGTACCGACCACATTGAAGACTATAACTGGGAAGTCTTTAGTGCATACTATCAATATTTTTTCGCAATTTTTTTTCGCGGAGAATCCTTCGTAATCTCCACCGATCAATGTCTCTGCAAAGACGCTTTTACTGCGTCTTCCCTCACATACAATAGACATTGCTCTTCTGACAAGACATCTTTACAGCCTGTAGCGTAGCCAGTCAGTTCACCACGATAAAGACAAGATAACACAAAGGGGAGGGTTTGTTTGTTTTGTGGTGGGTTTATCTCCGTTGATAATTCTGGTAAAGTACTGAGATAGTCGTCATAATTGAATATTATCAGAAAGGAACTTCAGCCTGAGAGAAACAAAGTAAATAAAATGTAAAAAGAGTAATTGGGAAATAAAACTTCGAAGAAAGTGTTCCTTGTTTCAACCGAAAGTTCTAGTCCTCGAAGCTATTAAGCACATCCCACGCTAATGGTGTGTGCGGAGTCGAGCCTTCTATTATGCGTTTTCATTGACGCATCCCTGTCTTCAGTGTCTCACAGGAGAATGGATGATAGTGGCCCGACTCCGCCCATTCGATCAGAGTGGAATTTTCCCTCCCGTAAAAATGTAGTGCTGAAAGCTTAACCGCGAGGAAAAACCGGCCGAAATCGCGGACTTATGAATAATACCGAATAGCCCTCTAGAGCTCACCTTTGTGTTCTTTTTCATAGCCTTCTCCACAGCTAAGGTGAAGTTTGCTTCCTTTTCAACATCTACAAAGTCGACACTGACGTTGAATCTCGTGAGCGTTTCGGTGATGAACGAGTATGAACCGCTGTACATAGGCTTCATGCAAATCTGAAATTTTAACACATTCCAGTAAGCTCAAAACACTCTAAAAATCACACAAAAAAATCACAAATCATGTGTTGAAGATATTATCGAGAATGAAGGCTTAAGGCGTTTCTGAAATTCTGGATATATTTTGTCAAAAGCACATTCACGCTGTTCGTATGGGCGGAGTCACTGGAACCGTTGCGGCCTTCTCATGCGGGTCCCTTTCAATTGTGCGTCTTACCACCATTGCTCTCTTAGAAGCTTCGACCGCACGGCATTGAGAAGAGCAATAGCACTAGTCCGACCAGACGCTGGTAGCGTGGAATTGTGCCGTTTTAACATGAGAATACTGTCAGTGTTACATTATTTAAGTAATTAATTACTGCTTACTACCAGTGCTATTTCAACAACGATTACATACATGTGAACTCTTACCAAATGATCACCAGCATTGAGAAACTCGAGCAGTACAGCGGAGCAGGCAGCAAGCCCTGAATTGTAGAGGAGCGTAGCAGCACCCTGCTCCAGCTCTCTGAGGATCACCTCGCATTCTCGACGGTAGGATTGCCGCATCGTTGGTAGACGTAGTTGGAACCCTAGACAATGACTCCAATGAATGAAGTGGCACTTTTGAATTTACCGCTAGTAGGCTCTTTCGCCTAGCACTCCACCACGATGGATGGATATGGGGTCGTATCGAGTAAGGGGTATGATAAAGAAGTATTAAAGAGATTTCTGACACACCATGGTATCCTCTGACACAACTCTCGCTGATCCCGACAAGGTACAGCGCCGTTAGCAGAACCCCATCAGGTCTAAGGTGTACGTGATCCACTCGAGAAATCCGCAACGATCCTGCTTGAGAGTTCCCCGCGACCCTGCTCTGCGAGAAGTTACCTTCAGCGGCAGGATGCACTCTTATCAGGTCCTCTCAGGTTGCTGGTGAGGGAGAGACCGTACTAATCACAGGAAGAACTTCTTTCATTATTGATTTTCCCCGCTTCACACGCAGTGTTCATATCGCTAGGTTATTCCAACGAATCGAACAAAAAACAAAAAAGACACAAAAATAAAAAAAGGAAAAAAAACACAGAACAGCTCAAGCCTTGAGTTGAGGACCCCTCGTTTCCCTCTTCCCCTCCCAGGGTTGCGATTTCGCAATTTTTCCCGAGAGCAGGACGTGCCCTTAGGGCTTACAAGAGAATTAATTTGCACGCCTCAGAAAGAAATAGAAAGTTTCAGATAACAGTTTTCCTCTGAACTTCTGGCAATTCACCTTACCTAATTGGACCCCCCCCCATATACTCCGAATACGATCCTACTCCACACGCACCGGATGCAATGTCCCAGCAGTAAGTTATACATAGTCGGCGGAGGGAGGGAATGCGATCGTAGTCGCCATCAATGGAAATTTTCCGAGTCACGAAAAAATTTTCCGGATGCTACTTTTCTAGTTTTTCCTGTTCCACCGGTTCCACTACGCTCAGCCCCTCACTGCTCCAACCTCTCCCTCTTCCCGCCCCTAGTTGGTGGTGCCACCAAAGTTCTACATAACTGCTATTTTTGATAGTTGGAATTGGATGTTGTTTGGTGGCAACCCCTTGCCCCCTCCGCACGGCAGTTTTTTGGAAGAGGAACTGCTAAAAGTTGCCGAAAAATTCTCGAAGGAAGTGGTGGGAACTGAGGAAAGTCAGTGAGATGATTGGGAAGAGGGTGGCCGACCAGGAAATTTGGGGGGAGGGGAAGCACACACCAAAAGCTTCCTCCAGCGGCAGGACGTTCCCTGTCTGTAATGGAAAAGCTAGAGAACTCATAATTCACCTACATGGTTGCTCTCGTTGAATTGCTGGACACTGTCGTATCGATAGGTGGTTGAATGATAGATAGGAGTGACGATAGGTTGAGCTCGAGGTAGAGGAGATGCATGAGAAATAGCGAGTTTTGATTCGAATTGAAGCTGATCGAATTCGTCTCCTAATCGATTACGAGCAGTGTTTTCAGCAGGTGGATAAGCGAATTCACTGAAACGTTCTGGAATTTCTTCTGTTCGATAAAAGTCACTGCATTTTGTCTTCCGTTTGCTTCTTTGGCTGATGACGGTGGTGTACAATCAGCAGTGCGAACGACGCATTACTGATGGAAATTCTTTCGTGTTTACGATGGCACAAAAGCAAATGATAGATTAGCAGCCTGTGTCTGCGTGCTGTAATATCGCGCTATCAGTGGAAACTGATCAGTTTTGGCAGGCAAAGGAGAAAACGACGGCCGGGCGGCCATCAGACGCCACACACACGCACACCAACGTCAAACGTCAACGACTGTTGGAAAATATTAGCAGGGAAGCTTTTTTAGAAGAGTATCAACATCAAAGAAGGGACGAGAAGAAGCATAGGCGGTAGTAGCCTCGGAAGGGGGGGGAACCCGTAAGCGCTTTGTCGGCAGACGGAATCCTGTAAACTGTATGCAAGTGAATAACGGATACTTGATACTTGTCAGCTCCCTGTATGCTTTGTTATTACCCGTCCAGCACCCTATGAACTCCTGTCAGACTTATCAAAATGAATGGTCAAGACTTGAAGGAAAATGGGAGAAAATTCGTCGGTACCACCGCCAACGCGCAGCGAGTTTGTAGGGCCATGTCAGAATCTTGCAAACGGTAGGGACATGGGAAAAATGGTGAAGCCAAGGTAAATCCCGCTTAAGGCTACAGAATGGCCATCTTTGGCAGCCAGGGCACAGCATTCGATGGGGATTTTGGTCGAGCTTTTACGACCCCCCCCCCCCCCATGCTCGTACGATGGCTGACATGGCTGACTGTGGTTGCGGTTTATACTCGGCGAAAAAGTTGCCGAGCGGGGGAAAGGTATGTAGTAGGCATGCGACGTAGCTTCGACGGCGTATTTTTTATGCTACCTATAGCACAGAAAATTCATAAAAACTCATGAAGTGAACCACGTAACTCCTAGCCAGAAATACGACCCCCCTCCAAAACGTCCGCAAAGCGAGAAAAATCAACTATAAAAATAAATTTTTCCCAGCCCAAATACGACCCCCCCTTTTGGCGGCCAAATACGACCCCCCCCCATAGGGAATCCCCATCGAACGCTGTGCCCTGATTGGAGCGAAACGGTATTCTAGCTGCGCTGCAATCCGCGCCGTGTCGCACGCCCCATCGTTTGCAGGAATCATGGCTGGAACTAACAGGAATTTACTGAACTCGCAGGGCTAGACAAGACTGTGAAAAGAAAAAGAAAATAAGAAAGTCCAAGACACACACTTTGACAAGCTGACAAGCGTAGAGGGGGGGGGGTTCGTATTTTCCTCGCAGTTTTTCCCGTCTCACATGTGCCATGTACTCTCCACACCCGACACCTCGACCGTAGCGGGAGGAGGCGAACTGACAGGAGGGAGAGTCGTATCCGACCCATGATGTGCTCTGTTAGCGCCCCGTTAGCGCCAGAGCTTCTGTTGTGAAAGAACCTGGCTCCCCTTAGCTGTAGAATGCCACTTTTCTCAATTCCATTATGTGAAGTCACATATTACTTCATCATTCGGGTTACAAGGCATTGGTTGGAGCGCTGCTATGGTTACTTTACCTGCAAGCGCTTGTCAGTATACAAAATCCTATGAACTGTGTACATTTGAATACCGGACGACCTTACCAATACCCTGTGGTGAACCCAATTATCCAACTTGTCAGATTGACGCGTCAAGGTTTTGAAAAAGATGCAAGAATGGAGACACCAGCACACCTTACGGCAGGTTTGACAGCAGTTTACCGGGTAATTGGCAGGATTTTCCGAAAGTTGCAGAATGACAGAAGACTGTAAAAAGACAGAAAATTGAAGAGAAAGACACACTCACACTTATTGACAAGCCCTGGCAGGTGCAGCACCCCCTTGGCACCAAAGGGTGACTTGTGAAAGATCAGCTCCTTGGGCTGCAGAATACCACATTTCTTGTTTCCATTATGTAGTGTCATTATATATTACCGTACTTTCTGGTGTAACGTTCTTTACTCGCTTTACGAGTAATCAATCACAAGAAGTGAATTCGATATCGAAATTGTTTTTCACCATCAGGAATCGATCAACCGCACTGTTCTTCTTAAGATTGGCTCTGCCCTTCCTAGGAATCGCAAAATAAACCCTGATAGGCGCAGTTCGGCGACAGGGAGGCATTTTGCACTTTCGCTGCTTCACTAGTTCCGCTTTAAAGTCTCATTCTAGTAAAACCTGTCAACTCTTGTAAGCTCACAAAATGACTCTCTAGATGGGTCGACACGTCGATAGGAAGTAGCAAAAGTGCAAAATGCCCCCCCCCTCCCCCTCAACTGTCCCCCTACGAAATATTTACTTTTATCTTACTAACTAGTTGCTAGCTGAGTAAGGGGTGCCTTCACCACGAACGCCATTAACGTTACGCGTGGGAAAAAGCTCGGCATTTTTGGTTTCATTCTTCAGAATTGAATAATTTTATGAACACTTAGTTTCGTGACGACAATTTTGTCAGTAGTTTGTTTATTGGCGCATTATCAATGGTTTTATCAGTACTTTTTTCATGTCGTAGTCAATTTCGGTGAAATAGTCGGACAATAACATCGGAAAAAAGTACCTTAAGTCAGATTAAAAACTAGAAAATACAAAAAAAAACAAAGGCTTTGTGGAAACGTTTCGCGCGCATGTTGCGAGCGTCTCTGTGATTTTGCGTATAAATTCGTCTCATATCCCAAAAAAAGGATGTTCAAGGGCGTAATCTCTCCAATAGCTCGAGGTAACAGAGGTTAACATAAAGCATACCTCATATCGGGTGCCGAAGTGGCTCTTGTGGCTCGAACTACTCGCAGAATGACCAGCGCTAAGATCAAATATCGGTGTTTCGTTATCTAGAACGACCGTCGGCTAGGGATCACATGATTTTCGCCCGTTCTCTGTTAATGAATGCAAAGGAAGTGTGAATAATGTTGGAAAGGTGTACTCATGAGAGGCATGGAAAATAACGCGACGGGATAAATGTTGGCATTCGAGTAAGGCTAAAGGAGCGTGTGTTGGGACGAGTCCAGTCCTGTAATCAACCCCATGACCCCAGAGGAAACAGCAGAGCATCCATTTCATGGTACTGGTCCGATAGCACCGCTCTTGGCTGGAAGGCCGACTTTGAAGGCGGCTTTCGGAGGCGGAGTCACTGGAAGAAAGGGAGGTGTCACTGTAGCAACTTTGCGGCTCAAAGGCACGGTCTTCGATAAAAAGCCTAGGTGATGTTGCAGAAATGTGGAAGAAAATTCGCCAAGTGAACCGTCATGAAGAAAAAAATGGCCAAAGGAACGTTGGAAAACGCATTCGTTAGGACTCTGTTAGCCTCAAACAACTGCAGAGGTAAAAGACCGCGCGTTGGGACGATTTCTCACCTGCCGATTCCCAGTGATGAACCACTATGACTCTAAGCAGGAGACATCCGAATGCATCACATCCACACGATACTGCTGCAGAGACCATTACTTTTTGGCTGGAAGGCCGACTCTGGAGGCGGGTCTGGAGGCGGAGTCACTGGAAAAAGGGATGTACCACTGAAGC